AAGTCTACGGTGCGCGTCGCCAGCCCGACCCGGCCTGTTCCTGCCACCCGCACCAAGTCTACGGTGCGCGTCGCCAGCCCGACCCGGCCTGTTCCTGCCACTCGCACCAAACCTACGGTGCGCGTCGCCAGCCCGGTCCGGCCTGTTCCTGCCACTCGCACCAAACCTACGGTGCGCGTCGCCAGCCCGGTCCGGCCTGTTCCTGCCACCCGCACCAAGTCTACGGTGCACGTCGCCAGCCCGACCCGGCCTGTTCCTGCCACTCGCACCAAACCTACGGTGCGCGTCGCCAGCCCGGTCCGGCCTGTTCCTGCCACTCGCACTAAGCCAGGGGTGCGAGAAGTCAGCCTGGTAAGGCCCGTTCCTCCTCCACGCACAAAGCCAGGGGTGCGAGAAGTCAGCCTGGTAAGGCCCGTTCCTCCTCCACGCACAAAGCCAGGGGTGCGAGAAGTCAGCCTGGTAAGGCCCGTTCCTCCTCCACGCACAAAGCCAGGGGTGCGAGTCGTCAGCCTGGTAAGGCCCGTTCCTCCTCCACGCACAAAGCCCGGGGTGCGAGTCATCAGCCTGGTAAGGCCCGTTCCTCCTCCACGCACCAAGCCTACGGGGTGCGTCGTCAGCCCTGTCCGGCTCGTTCCTGCTCTCCGCACCAAGTCTGTGGTGCGCGTCGCCAGCCCATTCCGGTCCATTCCTGTTCCACGCACCAAGCCAGGGGCGCGTGTCGTCAGTCCGGCTCCGGCCAGCGGGGCTAGACAGGACCAGGGGTACTATGGGGGGTGTATCGGAGGGTGGTGGTCAAGGCCGGAGCCAGAACCGCCACCGAGGAGGTATGCCCGCCCAGCCCTCCCCTGTTTGGGGTTTTTGAGGCGCGGTCGCAGTCCGCGCCTTTAGGGGGGGGGTACTGTCACACCCTGGCTATGGGACTCATTATGTTGAGCCAGGGTGTGTGCATTCTATGTGTTCATGTTCTATGTTGGGTGTCTAGGTTGTCGATGTCTATGTTTGTATTGAGTGACTCCCAATCGGAGGTAACGAGTGTCAGCTGTCGGCTCGTTATCTCTGATTGGGAGCCATATTTAAACTGTGTGTCTTCACCTTGTGTTGGTGGGTTTTTGTTCCGTGACGGTATGTTTAACCGTGGACTTCATGAATCGTGTTTTGTTTTGGTTTTCGTGCTTTAATTAAATAAAGTCATGTTTATTTCACACGCTGCGCCTTGGTCTACTACTCCTTACCCAGACGATCGTGACACTTAAAACTGTTACAGAGTTAAATGGCTGTGATAGGAATAAACTGTAGTTACTCCACACTACTAATCTAATTGACAGAGTGAAAAGAGGGAAACCTGTACAGAATAAACATATTCTAATGCATGCATCCTGTTTGCAAAAAGACACTCAAGTAATATTGCAAAAAATGTGGCAAAGCAATTCACTATTTGTCCTGAATACAAAGTGTTATGTTTGGGGCAAATCCAATACAACACATTACTGAGTGCCACTCTCCATATTTTCAAGCATAATGGTGACTGCATCATGTTATGGGTATGCTTGTATTCATTAAGTATACAAAATAAATGTAACTAAGCACAGGCAAAATCCTAGAGGAAAACCTGGTTCAGTCTGCTTTCCACCAGACGCTGGGATATGAATTCACCTTTCAGCAGGACAATAACCTAAAACACAAGGCCAAATCTACACTGGAGTTGTTTATCAAGAAGACAGTGAATGTTCCTGGTGGCCGAGTTACAGTTTTGAGTCAAATCTTCTTGAAAACCTATGGCAAGAACTAAAAATGGTTGTCTAGCAATGATCAACAAACAATTTGACAGAGCTTGAAGCATTTTGAAAAGAATAATGGGCAAATGTTGCACAATCCAGGTGTGGACAGCTCTTAGAGACTTACCCAGGAAGACTAACAGCTGTAATCACTGCCAAAGGGCTTCTACAAAGTATTGACTCAGGGGTGTGAATACTTCTGTAAACATGTTTTCACTTTATCATTATGGGGTATTGTGTGTAGATGGGTAAGAGAAAAACATATATTTAATAAATTTTTGAATTCAGGCTATAACACAACAAAAAGTGGAATAAGTCAAGGGGTATGAATACTTTCTGAAGGCACTGTATGTACATATTATTCCTTAAAGAGTGACTGCCCCTAAAAACCAACTAACCCCTTTGAAAATGTGCTATGTGGAATCGATATGAGTCAGAAACATTTATTCTAGCGTCAAAATTGACTACAAAGTGTAAATTGGATAATTTTGGTCATAAAGTCATTCTCGAAGTCAACCTCAATGTATCAAAACAAGTAAATTAAGGTTGAGTTTGGATTACAATTCTGTCAACAAATGATGTATGCCCCCTTTTGCCAAGCTCCACGTGCAAAACACACCTGCACTCACTTCATTTCCCTGCATTGAATGGGACTCTGTTATTTCATCGCCCTCAACCAACATGTTCCAAGGATCATGGCCGTTTGAGACTGAAAATCCCTATACGAATTGACCATGCAATGCATGCTTCCAACTAGGTTGAAGATGGGTATATTTTGAACCAAGGCTTCCAGCAGGACTCACAGCAAACAACTTTGCATGCCCTGCCGAAGGACCCTATCATGCAGAATAGGTGGTTGGAGGTCGTTGGTCCTCAGTGGTGGTGAGTATACCGGTAGCTAGACCATAGAATGCTGGTTATGTATCTGGTTATGTATCTTTTTATAATCATTATCACTAACATAGCTAGCTAGCTGGCAAACGTTAACCTACCTCAATACAACTTGTATTTGGCTTGAAAACACAATAACATTTCAAAAGAAGGCAAATAATAAGTAGGAAAAACTTTTGTCATTATTGTGATGTCGGCAGATTGACTTTAGATGCAGTATAAATTTAGTCAGCTAAGATTGAGGGTACCATCGTATTTTAGCTAGCTAACATTAGCATGCTAGCTATTTTTGACAAACTTTGCTAGTACCAGTAATGGCAACATTGCCATCTCTTTAAAGTCAATTTGACGAAGTTGTTTCCTACTAATCGTATTTCCATGCCACTCTAAATTAGTGTGATTTAGATGAAACAGTCACATTAGCCTTCAAAACTAGTAGTAATTTTGGTTGTGAAGTGCATTAGCAAAAAGCTTTGTCCTTTCTTTAGAACAAAATGCAATTTACCACTTGGCTGTCTATTATATCACCCTGTCCACAGGCCGTCCCAGTCAACACCACCTCATAAGATTGCCTGCTGCTGCGGTTGTTCGAGAGATGTCCAGTTTGCAGCCGAAACATGCAGCATAGAGAAGACCAGAAAGAGGACCCTCATCAGCATCATGCAGACATGCCCTCGCTGTGAACATTACTATGAATGGAACAGTCAGCCACATGTTGGCAAGTATCTGGGCAGCAACCTTCACCTGTCAGCAGCAACAGCTTTCACAGGCTCATCATTTGTACAAATACAGAAGGTAACCCATTTCTTTACTTTAATACATTTGATAACCCAATTGTAAAACATAATACGTAAACTGACATTATTTGTTGATTATTTTTCTACTTATAACATGATGTCCAGGGCATAACTTAGACTGGTGGAACCAGCCTGATCGCTGTGTTCACCATTCTATTTAACTTACATTTTATGATATCTGAAGTGAAATAGAAAGGTGAACACAGTGATCAGGTTGGTTCCAACAGGCTAATCATAACCACCATTGATAATGTAACCAGTGCTCTGTGTGTGTGTTCATGTGTGACCAGCCAGTATCTTTGATGAGGGGTCACCTTGGTCGCTGATGGGAAGAACAGAATTAGGTAGGTTTAGTCTGACTTGTTTAAACTTCAAAATAGTATGTTTGTGTGTCAGATATCACCTATCCGTAACTGCCATTGGTAATAGAACGGTGACTGTGTGTGTATGTGTATGTGTTCATCGAAAAATGTATGGAGCCATCACATGCAGACTTTCAAGATGATGTGATGAAGTCCAGACTGACAGACGGGCTTGATACTGATGTCTCTGAATGGAGAGAGACCTGGCACTCGGCATAAACATTTTACTAGTCACAACTTTTAATTGTATTGTCTTTTTTTTATTTTATGGAATCAGTCAATATGGGGAGGGAGAAACCCTGTGTATTCTGCACCAGGATCAGGGAACTACTGTTGAATACAGGACACCCCTAACACTTATGTTATGTAAAGAAAATATAATAACCCCAAACTTTTTTTTTTTCGGGTCTCAGGAGGATTTATATAAAGGGTTGTTAATTCTACATTGACCTGTTACTACATTTGAAACTTATCAAAACACTTAGTTTAGAATAGCTTGTTACTTGTTAATGTTACTTGTTGTGTATTTATTCTGCATGTTATTATTGTTATATTCCTCTCTCTGCATGGTTGGGAAGGGACCGTAAGCATTTCACTGTTAGTCTACACCTGTTGTTTACAAGCATGTGACAAATTACATTTGATTCGATTTTTTTATTTGATCTATATAAATTCAGCAATTGCATTCTTCTCATATTACTTTGTAGGCTACTGACCTATTTAAAGCTTTCTCCAGCATCGCACCATACATCTGCCTGTAGTTATTGAACTCAATATTCAGGAGCTTTGTTTGTTGTGATTGAATGGGAGGAAACAGCTCCGGGCAAGGTTCTGACAGATGGGTGTGTCTTGGTGGTGGCAAGGACACACCAAAGAAACACCCACATCAAACCATACCCCCAAGCCAACTCACATTTGGCTTCTGTCATGGCTGCCAGCATTTCTTGAAGAGCAAGTCAAAAAACTAGGCCAAATCAGCGGGTGCAGTTCCCCTTTAACCTCATAAAGTTAGATCTCAGGAAGTGATTTGTTTTATTAGCTTCCTGTCATTTGCTATCAAAGTGTATTGCCATAACAACTATTAACCAATCAGTTTACTCAAAAAATCAAACTCAAATTCTGTAGTTCAGGCTGAACTACAAAACAAAGGTCTCAGATGAGTATTTTGTCCATTGCTACCTGCAGCCACAGGACTCCACCACCATGTCCTCGTATTGTTTGTAGACCACATTATTGGCTGAGTCAATGTAGAGGATGCTGATTGGGCTGAGGCGAGTGGGCACGCAGCAGGTGGGCGGAGTCGAGTCGGGGTCCATGGAGTTCATGAGCGTCTGGATGATGGCGTGGTTGGTGGGCTCGAGGTGCGAGCGAATAGGGAAGTCGCACACCCCGTCGCAGTGGTAGGCCTCATACTCTAATGGGGCGATGATCCAATCGTCCCAGCCCATCTCCTTGAAGTTGACGTGCAGCTGCTTCCTGTGGCAACGAGGCTTGGGGTTCTTGGCCAGCTTCTTGCTGCGGGTGGTTGGAGCTCGGCGCATGCGCCGCTGAGTGAACAGATACTCGTACACAGTCTTGTTGTCGTGGCCCGACCGGGCTTTGATCTCATTGTAGAACAAGTCGTTTTTCTTGGTGCGCCCGAACATGAGGAAAAAGGCCTTCTCTTTGGTCTGCCTGCCCAGGCGACTGAAGCCCAGTGCCCTGAGGTCCACGGGGCGGCCCCGTTCCAAACCCTCCAGCTCGAAGCAAAGCTGGACGGTGTTCTTGAAATTCTTAAATAGTTTCCAAATGTCAAACACTTCCCATTTGGGCGTATTGTGGTCCTCGATGGTTCGAGTTTGAAGCAGTGTAGCTTTCTGCTTACCTGCTACACAGGTGAAAAGCTTCAGGCAGAAAACTCTGCCAGTGGAAAGTGCTTTGTGTGGATCAGCCAGTCTTTTCCTGAGTATACGCAGCTCGGCACCCAGTAACCCCTCCTTCTCCAGGGAACTGATGTTGAAGTAATACTTCTGTCTTCTCAGCTGGGGAAGAAGGGCATCTGTAAAAGAAGATAACAGAACCAAGGGCTTCATTCATATTGACATGTTTCTTTACGTGTTAGTGTGGCTTCTCAGGTAAGACACAGGAGGTAAGAGTTATGTGTAATGTTCTTCTTTGTTTTTGGTGAGGGAAAGCATGGCCATATACAAATTAAAGGCAGCGTTTTCATCCAGGCACAGTACGCGTTCGGAAGTACATTCAAACCAGACATTTTCAGACTACAGACCACATTGAACTGTAAACAGACCATTATTATTGACCTGCAGCTGTTTATGAGTGGATCTACCACCAAGTCATATGGCATTTGCTAAGAGTGGACCAGAAAACACCTGAACAACACAAAATATATTGAGAAATGAAAGGAGTGACTTCTGGATTTAAGAGCCCAACCAGAGATAAAAACACATATGAAACTGAGAAATTGAGGAAGGAGGAGGAGAGGAGGAGAGGAGGAGAAACAGGTGGTGGGGGGGAAGAAAAAGAAAAAGAAGAAGAAGAAGAAGAAGAAGAAGAAGAAGAAGAAGAAGAAGAAGAAGAAGAAGAAGAAGAAGAAGAAGAAGAAGAAGTGTGTTCTGTTTTACAGATGAAAAAAATGCAATGTCTGGCAAGGGATCAGTTACAACTTCTTAGCCATACAAAGGGGAGGTCACCAACAATTTGCAGAGGACCTGTTATACAAATAAAGGGCAAAATAAAAGTACATTAAGTGCTTAAAATGTAAACCTTTAGCAGCTAGAAATATTGAATCAAGGTCATTTAAACATCGTTTTAAAGAGCTTTACCCAGTAAAGAACACATTATTTGTTTACACTTTAGAGGCTGTAAATAACTGAGGGAATGGCTATGCAGATGGCTACTGACAGTGTGACAGACCCATAACCAAGAATTTAAAAAAAACTATTATGTCAAACTCCAAGAAACCTTTTGACTTAAGTTTCAAGTTTGCTTCGACTTTAGCTTTACTTTACCTGTCTAATAAAGAGGTTGGTTTGATGAGCATATGCCTACAGCTCCACTGTCTCTTGGTTGTGTTCAATTAAAGACAATTAAAGATAAGTAAGCATATTCAGAATTTGGTCTCAATCTTTATAATGATTATATTTTCTTTGGCAGCAGTGAAAAGTTACTTTTATTGGACCACTTATCCATAATTTATAAGCCTTATTTTGACTTTGCAAGCAGTAATGCAGATTTTTTAAAAAGTGTATTATGAGACACCACTGTTCTTTTTTTGTATAACTCATTGTTTATGTGGCATCAAAAGTTTACCTTGTCCTTTATCCACAACGCTGGTGATGGTGTTGGCCATGCCAGCCTCGTGTAGCACACTAGTGTTCACCTCTCCTGTGGATAGTGACCAATACAGTGACAACATGTAGTCATGTGGCGTCACCAATAGGAGCTTTGGAGAGTGTCTGCCTCTGAGTTTGCCCGTTTCTTTGGCACTCCTTTGGGCCAACCGAGCAATGTGCTTTTGCACATCAACAACTTTTTGCTGTCCAGTTCGTGCTGATGTTCCAGCTCTGGGGACAGTGTTTTCTTTGCTCTGTCCAGGACTGGCTGAGCTTTTTCCTGTTTGCATGCTCAATGCCACGGGAGCAGGCGCAGCTGCTGCTTTAGTAGCATCCCCGCCGGGTACCCAATAGCGCGCAGCCTCCTTGGGCCCCAAATTGACAGCTCCACGAGCATGGCTGGCCGTTACGCCGTGCGGTGATGACACTGATGTCACAGCTTTCGCTTTGGCTGCCTCGCCCTTTATCAGCGGGGGTCCTGTTCTAATGCGCGTGATCCTCGCAGCACTTAGAGACTTCCATCCCCCTGCTCCGTACTTTCCTACCGTCAACCTGGCAGTTGAGCCAATTCCCGGGTTGGCTCCTTCACCTGCTCCGCCTGTGTGCTCCTTGCCTCCGCTCTCGGCTGCGCACTCTGCCGTCCCGGTATGGCGCATTGACGCTGGGATAAAGTCCAGGTATAAGAGAGTCCAACACCCCAATAAAAGAGGGACACGTTTGAGTACTTTCATCCTCTGATCTTCCTTTGAATTTTAGCCAGGGAGAAATGCGCACAGGCTTTTCCCGTTTGAAATAGGTAAACATGAACAAGTTTGGAAAAGTGAAAATGTGGACTAGAAGTTAGTGTTCTATGGTAAATTACACTATGCAAACCGTTACTCCCAGATCCGTTATTCAGTACCATAGTGATGCAAATGTCCTGTTGCAGGTCTTGCTTTCCAATATGCAGTAAATGTCCGAGAAGGTTTGCATTGAGAGGAGAAAACTTGACTTCGCTTAAACTCCCAACTATTCTGCTCGATATCTTGTAAGAGACTTGTTTAAATCCCATTTTTTCCAAGAGGGGAGAATGGCGTAATGCTACCACAGTTTTTTTCCCTCAAAGGTTGAACCCCATCCAATGAAAATATTTCACACACAGAAACCTGCAGGTGCTCTGAAAACTCCAGAAACCTGAACTACGGAATTGGAAAAGGAATTCCAATGCAAACCAGTTTAATTACTCTCTGATGTCATGCTGTCTAAACTAATTTATGTGCAATATTTATTCTCAAATCTTCTTTGCTCTTTCCACCACCATGAGTCATACTCTACATAAAAAGGCACTAAAACACAAAGCTTTGCATTATGTCATTTAAAGTGAGCGTTTACTCAAGCTCCTAACATCTTTAAACAGTGGGGTAAAAAGGGCAGACTACATAAGAAAGATGCTTGGGAAACTTTATTACTTGTAAGTGCTAAATAAATTATGCAACACCATTAATCTCACCTTTTCTGTTGATTAATCATTTAGAGTGGATAAAAAACAAAGTTTGAGACATCTGTTTACATGACAAAAAGACGATTTGCAGCTCATTCTTTTATACTACTTATTCCCCCCACAAAAGTATGACAGCTAGCAAAAAGCTCAGTTTGTATTGTACATTTTAATTTATAAAAAGTACAGTATAATTTCCTCTGGATCACATACAATGGATATTCATCGTTTCCATCGTGTTTCTTTATAGGATATACTGTAGGCTGCATAAACGCTTCCATATTTCAAATATTTAGGGTCTTATTCAATAACACGTATTGCTATCCCAGGTGTCGGATAACTAATACAAAATTAATCTTGGACTGCAAGTGTAACAAAGATGTTTCTTATAACCATGCTTGTATGATGAGTAACCTTGCCTGAGATATAGATTTGTGTTTGCTCCTTGAGCCAATGCCTTTAGTTCAGTGGGCTAATACAGTCTTGTGGTGCGCAAACAAACCGGGTTCGAAATTGAGGTGGTCACACTAGAACATTGTGGATTAATGTTTACAGGGTGAAACAAAAATAAAACTTAATTACATATCACATGTGTAGTAGTTGCCTGGGAATAAGCCTCTTATTCCAGAAACCCTCTTAACTGGTTTTGATTGAATAGGGGACTTCGTTTCTCGATACTTTATTATGCCAAGGCAAGCCAACATCTCTGGCGTCGTAACTTTAGCTAAGACTGTGCTTTAGAAATAATTAGATGCCAAAACCAGGGTTAACTTTTGAATAATTGTCAGGCAGACGTGTCTCAAGTGGTTTGAAATAGGAGCTAGTGTTTTTGTAGGTTTGAGCATTCCTCCTATACCTGTAGAACTCTCCCAATCTGTATAGGCCGGGTATGTATGAAAATGAATGTGGGGCATTGAATAAAGTGACCATATCACAGATTGCGCATAAACTTTATAATCCCTTCTATTCAGTACTGCTTTAGTTTTAGTTTGTTACAAAATATTACATTTTTCAAGGAAAGATTCACCCATTTTGATTGTTAAAAACGATATAACATTCAAAATTGGTGAGTCTTTCCTTTAAGAGTCTGCAGTGTTAGTTCTTTCAGCGACTTTTCATAATGGCCAAATCACCATTTTAGAAAATCAGTTCAGAGTTTGTGCAGAATTTTGAAAAGACTGGAAATATAATTCTGAGAAATAGATGTGTGATAAGATCTTTTAACAGCTTTACTTTTCCATGTGTATAGAGAGCTATGCTGTCTTTCAATATTGTCCATTATTACCTAATATTGCTTCCATTTAATGCTAAGTGAATTATGGGACATGTCAAAACTATGTATTCTAATTTCAGCACATCAATTTGTCTCCTGTTAACATGGCTAAATAAAATCCTAACAATGTCTCAATACAGGATACAATGGGGGAGTATAGGAAGAGGGCCCAGGCTGCGTACCAATGTTTTGATGATCGTCTTCTATCCAAGCATTAACAACTCTATAGAGGGCCCCGCTTGGACTACTCAGGTTTTGACTCCAACCCTGGAGCATTGAAGTGACTGTGCCAGAGACAGTATATAAGGAACCCATGAAGTATCCTGAAGGTTAGCCTGAAGGTTTAAGTTCGGGACACAGAGACCTACATATAAACACACTCACAGTGGGATGAAAACCTCAGTGCTTGGCCACCACTTTAAAAATAAAGGTGCGCACAGCACATTTTGAGTCCAACTGTCTTGGATGTATTCTGTTCTCAGGATGTTTGAAAAAGCCCAGAGGAAATCTGTCTCAGCTTGTGGTTTACCTCGTACTACGCTGTAGCAAGAGAACATTGCCTTTGTGTGAATGTGCCACTGTGCTTGTGCTAGCCATTGCCATGCGACGGTAATAATAACTTTGCTGGGGTAAATGTGTACACTACCGCTATTGAGACGGGATGACTTTCAAAAACCACAGAAAAATCTCTGTCATAAACGTGGCCCAATAAAATAAAGAGTCAATTTGTGACCCACTAACTTACATAACTTTGGGTCGGTGCTTGGAGACTTGTATGTTACTCTGAATATCTTTCCATTTCAAACATTACTCAGCAAAAAGCGTGATGTTCAAAATGTCAGGACTGTGGAACACTGCAATATTCGGCATGTTGTAAGAATGACCCACTGTATCCAGGTGACAGTGTTTTCATAACACTTTAACTCTCTTATACAAGGTAACAATTTACAGATTTACAGTGCTATCTAGTTGAACATAAGCTTAATTGTCTGTGCCCTAACCCCATTTGTATAACATTTGGTTGCAGATTTTATCCTGTGCTTTGTGGTGAGCCCTTAATTGACTAAAAAGTGAAGCAAAAGCCGTTTAAAACAAATGCACCAGTGCCCCCTTTAGGCTATGTCCTGTCTCATTGTGTAACAAATTGAGAACATGCAATCCAGGAGGAAGGTCTACAGGTTCCAGGCGAACAAAATGTCATGCCAATCACTGTTTATTAGTTGAATACTGTCAGGGAATGTCCATCAAGTATCCTTATTGCCTGGTAACGATAGAATTTCTCTGGAATATTAAAAATGGAAATAATGACAACCTCCATATATGGTTCTTAAAACTAGACCTGACCTTCAGGGGGAACAGGATAACCTTTTTCACTAAGTAAGTCTGGATTTCGCTCCCTGGAAAATTTCAACTGCAGTAATTTTTCCTGGATTTATTTGGTTATCCTGAGTGAACATATATTACAGCTTCAGGTCCTTCTGGCAAGACTCCAACGGCTGACCTGGTCGCACCCAACTCCCTACCACACCCGCTTATAGATAATGAGTGTGGCTTGTTTAAACTCTGTTAACTGTGCAGCCATGCTTTGAGACTGACGGCGAGAAGAAAGAGACTTCTATACCCGGGCCAATGCCTTTCCACCTGAGCTGCAGGTGTTTGCTTTTCGTGTCTGTGGCTTTGAGTGGTCAGGCTCCATTCATTTTACATTTGGGATGGAAATGTTTACCTTTTCCAAAATGTCTAATGCTTGCCAGGAAAAGGTAGAGTTTGATGAAGTGTTTGATGATTGCACCCTATTGATTTCTACATTAATCTTTGACTTTGTGAAATGGTATTGTAAGTATTATATCAGGGGTTAGTCAAATATACTGATAGATAACAAATACGATGTTACAGTATATGAGAGTGCATTGAAAGAGAAATTGCTATTTTGCATCTCTAAGATATCAACAATGATAATAATCAATTATTCTACTCCTATTCCTATTTGAGTCCTATTCCAGAATAATGCACATTTTAATCCATGCACTGAATGAAGCAATGCTTCCAAAATGAGAAATTAATTAAATTGCATATCAATTCAAATATGGTTTCTTGGTGCATGGGGAAAATAGTTACTTACCCCCAGAAATTGAGTTCAGTAAACACATGGGATTAGGGAATTCAACTCAACACACTAAATGTAGATGTTAAAGTACAGTGCCTTCAGAAAGTATTCATACCCCTTGACCTCTTCCACATTTTGTTGTGTTACACCCTGAATTCAAAATTGATTAAATATATTATTTTTCTGACCCATCTAAACGCAATACCCCGTAATGACGAAATGAGAACACATTTTTTGAAATCTTTGCAAATGTATTGAAAATGAAATACAGAAATATCTTATTTACATAAGTATTCACACCCCTGAGTTACTATATGTTAGAATCACCTTGGGAAGCGATTACAGCTGTGAGTCTTTCTTGGGTAAGTCTCTAAGCGCTTTGCACACGTGGATTGTACAATTAAAAAAATTGTTCAAGCTCTGTCAAATGTATTTTTGATCATTGCTAGACAACCATTTTCAAGTCTTGCCATAGATTTTCAAGCAGATTTAAGTCAAAACTTTAACTCGGCCACTCAGGAACATTCACTGGCTTCTTGTGAAGGTGAATTCATCTCAGAGTGTCTGGTGGAAAGCAGACTTAACCAGGTTTTCCTCTGGGATTTTGCTTGTCCTTAGCTCCATTCCATAAATGTTTTATCCTGGAAAAACTCCCCAGTCCTTAACGATTACAAGCATACCCATAATATGATGCAGCCACCACTATGCTTCAAAATATCGAGTGATACTCAGTAATGTGTTGTATTGGATTTTTTTGGAATATTTTTACTAAGCTAACATATTGTATTGTTTTAAGATGGATCATTTAGATATTTGATTTTGAATTTTAGGACCCCTTTAGGTATATAAAAAAATAAAAATAACATATTTGATA